CACTTGTCAGTACAGTACCACCATTTTTTTTTTAAAAAAAATGATGAGGCGCCACCCAATCATCTTAAAAAAGAATGAAAGGTACCTCCGGTTATTAGTTCGTTCTTGCTCTGAATAATATATCATCCTGCTACTACGTGCTGATTGTATATATTTTTCTTTTTGGTGTTGGACATCTAAACAGAAAAAAGGTAGAGGTCCAACTAGCTCTTGAAAATTGTCACTACACAGCCGTTTCTGTTTTGTCGGCAGCTGATATATAAGTGATACTAACAGATGAACTGTCCACTCACTTAGTTTTGTGAGCATAAATGTTTCCTAATCCTACGATAAATTTATAATTAGGACGTAGCAATCATACACTTGCTATGCTATATATTATGGGGGACATTGATGTTCTTAGAATTTATTATTTCATTGGCTAAAATTTTCTAGTCACGCACAATGCGAGCGCACATTCATTGTTTACCATAATTTGTATTCCCCTCGACTTAGTAAGCTTTTATGGATCATTACTCTTGATTAGCTATCTAAATATCACGAGAAAAGAATTTTTAAATTTGTTTCAAGTCATATATGTGGATCTCAATCTGTAGTTAGCATGCTTTTACTTAAAACGTCCAATTGAAAATATCCTACGCCGTGAATGACTTTCAACCCCTATATGAGACGAAGGAAAATTGGAAAAATAAGTCTTAAATTTATTGCATGATTTACTCAATCATGTCTTGCACGTCAGAGAAACGGGCAATTGCAAAATAATGGAAAAACATGTAGTCTGTTCGCTTGTTGGTTTTAGCCAGAGCTTATCAGCCATGATACAGTGTTTTTCTGTCACAACAAACCAGCACCAGCCGGGCTTATCAACCCAGAAACCACCAGCGAACTGGCCGATGAATTGATCCAGAAAAAAAGATGCCAATTAAGTAGCAAAATGATAATTTAAAGACCAAACACCACAAGAACAGTTTGGCACCCCCGGCAAAGCACCTACCGTGACAGGACAAAGAAAAAAAAGGTCAGAAAAGCTTGGTGCTTGCTGGCTAGTGTCAATTTTCTCAAGCCGTGAAAAAAGAAACCCCTCCTTGTCACTTGTCAGGTCCCTTTCATGTCAAGCTCTTCGCCGGTTGGCAGGGTGGCGGTGGTTGAAATGGCGCCTTCCCAGACATGCCGGTTGAGTGCAGTATCCCTTACAAGCATCGGCGAAGCACCAAGCTTTGCATGCCATTAGTGCTAAGACTAGCAACAATACAAGAAAAGCGGAGGGCCGGCCCGGCTCGGCACGGCCCAAGCACGGCCCGGAGGATGTTGGGCCGGCACGGCACGCCGTGCCTCCCGTGCCGTGCCGCTGCGGGCCTCGTGCCTTACCATCAGCCCAAGCACGGGTCTATAGGCCTAAATCATGTTTAAATCACCAGTCATGCCGGCCAAATTGAGGTCCGTAGGGTTTAAAACACATCAAAAAATTCATCTCAACAAGAAGTATTCAAATTTGAAATATATTTTTTTTCAGAAAAGCTTCAAACCAAAACCAAAACCAAAACCATACACACAGAGAACAAGAGGAAATCAAAAGGATAACTGAGTTGTGTGCAATGCTGCCTCATTAAAAACCTTTCTGGATAAAACTCACCCTTGTGAGAAACCCTAGAAAGAGAAAAAGAGTGCAGCACAGCTCTTATAAGTCTTAAACATGTTCAAAGATTTAAATGATACATCACAGATACAGATCATAATCAAGTCTCAGGCTCTCAGCTCACCTCTCAAGTCTCACACTCTCACTGTCTCAATCTCAACTCTCAACTCAAGAACCACTAGATGCAGAAAGCCACAGATGCAGATGTGCTAGCAGAAGGAGCCCCAGAAGTAGATGCATTTTCATTAAGATAGAGATGCTCGAAGGAGTCTACTAGTTCTTGGTTGTCAACATCATGCTGCAGTCTTTTTTCACCTAGCTCCCAATCTTTTATGCAAGCAAGCATCTCCACATGTTCAGGCAATAATCGACGGCGCCGTTCCTCAAGTATTCTTCCTGTCAAGCTGAAACAAGATTCTGAAGACACCATTGAAACAGGAACTGACATAATGTCTCTAGCCATGATGGAAAGCACTGGATATGTGTAGCTTATGGTCACGCCACCAGAGAAGTAGATCAAAGTCATCCTCATATGCAGTGACATTGTCACTGTCCAGATAAGCAAATAGCTCACAAGCAGCAACAGAAGTAGATAAAGAATGACCGGGAGCAGAGGCAGAGGAAGGTCCAACAACACCCGATGCTCCAGGGTCTCCAAAAATTCTTCCCCATGCCTGCTTCCTCTTACCTGTGATGCTTGCAGGATGTGCAGCCCTCATTTGAGACCTAGCTGCACCAAACTTTTCTTCATACTTGTTAAACAACTTAAAAATTTCAGTTTTCATAATACCATAATAAGAACTATAGTCAAAACCAATTTTTTGTTGCATTATGGTAAGAACATTAAATAAACCTCTCATTTTACCTCTAGAATCAAGAATGAATGCAAATGAATACAACAGAGGTATGTCCTTCCAGTATTTTAGGTATTTAAGCTTCATAGGATAGACAATAGAAAACAGATTCTGATCCTTTGAACTTTCATGCAAATGAGTTATAATATCTAGCAGATGGTGCAGAATAAATGGACTAGTTGGATAGTAAACATCAGAAAGAGTGACTATGGAGTCATAAAAAACTTCTAGGAATTCAAGTATTTTATCAGCAATATACCAGTGACTTGCAGTTAACAACGTTGAGCCATAGTTGGAATTAATGAACACAGAAAAAACATCCTTATATGGAAGCAGGTGTTTAAGCATAAGATATGTAGCATTTCATCTAACATCCTTATATGGAAGAAGCACCAGACAACACACAGTTTTTAATTATATTACGTCGTTCATTAAAAAGTTTGCCAAGATCTCTAGTGGTGGTCTGTCTAGAGACCTTAACAAACCTAGGATTATGAGCTCTAATAATGTATTCTTCCCAAGCATCAGTCTCACCAATTCCTAAAGGCAGATCAAACTTAGCAATCAAACGATATAATTCAGATCTAGCAACTTCAAGTTTATAATCCCAGTTATAAACAGAACCATCAGGATTATATGAAAGCCTAGATTGAACCCTAGCACGTTGATCAGTTTTAATCCTACATGATTTTTTGTGCTTTTTTAAGTGACCAGTGCCAGCAGCAGATCTAGCAGACAAGGTAGATTTGCACATCTTACAAATAGCATTGGTGCAAATTCTAAAACCATTAATAACCTCATAGATCTCAAAATCAGCCCACACAGGCGATTTGCGCTTACTAGTGTTACCTGTACCAGCAACCGAAGGAGCAGAGCCATTGGAGTTCGCAATCGTCATCGCCCCTTCGCCACCGTCCGCGTCCACATCGATCGGAGCAACAGAGCCGTCCCCAAGATCGACATCAACAATGCAAAGAAGGGCGTCGGCTTGAGTGTCGTCGTCGTTCTCGCCCCTCTAGGGCCAAAGCCAACCGGCCAGAGGGCCATCCTCGTCGGGCCATGGCCGCCTCTCCCACCCGTTCCTCGACGGTGCGGGTGGCCGCTTTGCTTTCGCTTCTAAGCCAGCAGCTAGAAGATTTATGCATTGGCTATCGACCCAAAAACAATGGAAGAAGAAGAAATCAAGCATACATTGAAAGAAAAGAAGAAATTAGAACATGGTTAGGGGTTAGGGTTAAGGTTTCACTCACAAATGTGAGCTCGGTCTTGGTTTCGAGAAGACGACGAGCACCCGGAGTCCAGAGAATACGACACTCAGTCAACAACGACAACGGACGACGGAGGAGGAACAAACAGAGACAACCAACTCACATAATCAACGAGATCTAGAGGGGAGGGGATCAGGTAGGACTTAGTAGTAGGGAGTTGCTCGTCGGGGACAGGCGAGGTTAGGGTTAGGGTTAGGGATGTACTTGCGCAACTAGAGCCCGGTGCTGGAGAAGACGAGGGCCACCCAGAGAAGACGACACACCAGTTAGAAGGACGGCGAGCGACGGAGAAAGGGCAGACGAGACACGAACTCATATAGTCACCAAGATCTAGAGGGGAGATAGGGATAGGGAGAAGGGAGAGGCAGAGAGGGAGCAGGGAGGGGATCAGGTAGGAGGAGCAGGGAGCGGCTTGCCGGCGGTAAGCGGATCGTCGAGGTCACCTCACCGGAGTCGAGGAGGACAAAGCCGAGAGCGAGATCATGAGGCGAGAGTGATGAGGCGAGGCGACAAAGAGTGAAAGTGAAATGAGCTAGGGTTTTTTGGTGTGAGCCGCTGTGGCCAAGGCGTGAGTTTATATATGAGGAGGGGGAGGCGGGGGACTGGACAGGTACCGGGCTCATGGGCGGGTGGAGAGAGGAGGAGGAGTGAGGAGGGAGGGGGGTGGCTGGTCACGGCCGGGCTGACTCGTGTCGGGCCGTGCTGCCGTGCGTCGCGTGCTCTGCTTCGTGTCGGGCTAAAAAAGCAAAGCCAGTGCCGCGTGTCAGTATTCTCGACTGCATTGGACAACTATAGGGCTCAGAGAGATAAAAAAAACCCATGGTTTTACAGCCAATTTATTTTCTGCCCATAAGTAAATGCTAGTTCTCTCTCTCCTCTCTCGCTCGCATTCACACTCACCCAGCACAGCAGCAGCAGGCCAGCAGCAGCAGCGCGCACACTGTTCTTGTGCCGAGGAATTATTTATTGCCACCGCATCGAGGTTCATAGTACGGGGAAATTGATTGCTCATTCCCTCTGCTTCATCCATCCACCTCCACTCGGCGACGGGGCAGCATTCTTTGCCGCTCCTTTCTGCTTGTCCTTTTTTCCCCCAGTGGAGAGGTTAGCATCCGGCACAAGCAAATCGCCGGTTCTTGTCGCAGTTTCTGCGCGCTCGCTCGCTTTTTGGCCGCAAGATCTGATACAAAGAGGAGTGGGAGAGCCAAGAGAGGAGAGGTTCGTGCGTGGAATTCTTCGGCGATGAGGCCCGACGCACGTCTGGATTCGGTGGTTTTCCAGCTCACCCCCACCCGGACCAGGTGAGAGCATCCTATAGATCTGCTCATGAAGCGGCTTTTGATTCGGGGATCGATCGTTCGTTCGTTCGTTCCTAGGGTTTTGGTTTCTGGAATGGTAGCAAGAACAAATTTTTACGAATATATATTTTGTGGTTACAAATTTGGTCTTTGTGACGGTTCATGTGCCGTGCATTTTGCTGTTTGGTACTTGAAGCTTCCATTTGAAGAACAGTTCTGTTTACTTACACTGTCCTAAGATGGTTTTGTCCATGTCAGGACTGGAATTTGGCCCAACAAACGATTGGTTGTCTCCGTTACCTGTAAAATTATAGTATCAGATCCGGCGATTCTTGCATAGTGGCAGCAGTAGTAACTATATTAGACATATTTGTTATTGTTAAAAAAAGTACTCTGACGAGTAGGCTAGTTCTCTTTCAGGTTTTGTCATGGAATTTACTGTTTTGTCCAAAGTCTCTGACGGAAGTTGTCCTGGTACTGTTTTCGCCTTTCAGGTTCGATTTGGTTCTGATAGCCAATGGCCGGAAGGAGAAGTTTGCATCTGGTTTGTTGAAACCGTTCCTGGCTCACCTGAAGGCCGCCCAGGATCAGATTGCCAAGGGAGGGTACTCGATCACACTTGAACCAAGCTCAGGGTTCGATGTGCCATGGTTTACGAGAGGCACCATGGAGAGGTTGGCGTCTAGATATCTATACTACTGTAGTAGTACAGTTACTTCTGGCATTGCCTATTTGCCTGTTGGGTCATTCTTGTGTCAACTCTTTGCAGATTTGTGCGTTTCGTGAGTACTCCGGAGGTCCTTGAGCGAGTCACAACACTAGAGTCTGAGATCCTGCAGCTCGAGGATGCCATTGCTATCCAGAGCAACGACAGTCTTGGATTAAAATCTGTAAGTGCAGAAGATTTGTAGCATGTGGGTAGTTGCTGTGTGTTTTTCTTTTGTAGAAAGATGACATATTCTTGCTGTGCCATTTGAAAGGTCGAAGACCATGGAAGAAAGTTGACTGAAAGCAATGAAGGTAGTATGGCACCGCACCAACCTGATTCTTTCTGTGAGCCTGTTGTATAGAATATTGCATGCCTTTGAGGATTGTCTAAATCTCAAACATTATTTCATTGGGCTACCAAAAAGAAAAGCTAGGTGCAATCCACTACGATTATTTTAGAATCTAGTCATCATGGAGTTTGATGCGACATCACATCAAGGGCCATCATTAAGTTGGTACTTATCATTTAACTCCCAAAACGTTAGGGATCATAGTCTGATTTGTGGACAACCTTTACTATCGTTTAATGTTATGAAGTAAGTAGGTTGAATTTGCTGTGTGATCAAAATAATTTACTCCCTCCATTCCAAATTATAAGACGTTTTGGGTTTTCTAAATACATAGATTTTGCTATGCACTTAGATATATACACTATGTCTAGATACATAGTAAAAGCAATGTATCTAGAAATGCCAAAACGTCTTATAATTTAGAGTAGAGGGAGTCGATATGAAGCTATATTTTTTTTAAGTCCTGAATATTTAGTAATATCTTATTTCCAACCAGAGAATTCTGGATGCTATTATGTTCTGCATCCAGGGGAGTACTGGAATGGATCGAGCTGTTTCATCCTTTTATTCGCCTTACGCCCTTACCTGTCACAGCCTGCCACAACAACAACAACAACAACAACAACAACAACAACAACAAAGCCTTTAAGTCCGAAACAAGTTGGGGTAGGCTAGAGTTGAAACCCAACAGAAGCAGTCAAGGTTCAGGCACGTGAATAGCTGTTTTCCAAGCACTCCTATCTAAGGCTAAGTCTTTGGGTATATTCCATCCTTTCAAGTCTCCTTTTATTGCCTCTACCCAAGTCAACTTCGGTCTTCCTCTGCCTCTCTTCACGTTACTATCCTGGCTTAGGATTCCACTACGCACCGGTGCCTCTGGAGGTCTCCGTTGGACATGTCCAAACCATCTCAACCGGTGTTGGACAAGCTTTTCTTCAATTGGTGCTACCTCTAATCTATCACGTATATCATCGTTCCGAACTCGATCCCTTCTTGTATGACCGCAAATCCAACGCAACATACGCATTTCCGCGACACTTATCTGTTGAACATGTCGCCTTTTCGTAGGCCAACATTTTGCAACATGCCTGACACTATCCTGCCATATCTTTTTATTTATTTCTACAACATGCCTGACACTATCCATCCACTAATAGGTGGACGGGCAAATTATGATCCTGATTCAGCCACGGCAATTGTTGTCTACAAGGTATGATTATATGGACAAGCCAAATTTTGTTTCTGTAATTGTATTATGGTACAACACTGCAGTCTGATTGGGATATTTGATCAATGACAGCCTGGGTCAAATTCAATGCCACCAATGCAGAATGAAACAACAGCACATGAAGAGAATTCAAAGTACTTGCACATCTCAGTTTTTCTTATAGAATGTTATTTGTTAGTCTTCACATTTTTTTTTGGCTAATAGGGCTGTATAAACTCAGACCAACCTAGGAGGAAACCAGGTGGCGTTGTAAATAAGAAGAAATAGGCACCCGCTTTTGAGTCCAATAGGATTTGTACCTGGATGATGGGGGTGTCTGCCCACAGCACCCACCAACTGAACTAAGCTCGGCTCATTAATAGAGCTGTATAAAGTCATACTCTACAAAATGAATAATGAATTAAAGGCATCTAATGGAGAAATATATGAGAACATCGTTATTCATTCACTGTTCTATTGTCTTGATCTCCATTACAAGCAGCATATATATGAGATCATGTTTAGTTTCTTATTATTGTAAGTGTCTTTCTACAGTAGAAAGCTGTTAACAGAACTGCATTACAAATTGCAGAGTTCAATTGCTCAGAGTGCTTGAAACCCGCAAAACTGTGTTAAGAAAAGAGCAGGCTATGGCTTTCGCTCGTGCTGTGGCTGCTGGGTTTGACATTGACAACTTGGGTTACTTGATTGCGTTTGCAGAGCGCTTTGGTGCTGCACGTCTGATGTAAGTATAGCCTTACAATTACTTGGTGGTTTTATATGCTGGACTGAACTAGTTGTCTTGATATCTTCAGTGCTTTTAAGTTGTAACTTGACCTTAGAGATGCTACCCATGAAGCTTGTATCTTCTGGCGCTTTTATTTTGTAGCATGTCATAAAATCAGAATAGTGTGGAACTGTGGATTGCTCAGATGTTTTGGTTTATTCAGATGTGAACAACTGTACTATTGCACGCTCCCTGCCTTGGTAGTGTTATTGAACTTTGTTGATCAAGTTATACTATTGCACAAGTTTTAGTCAGTTGTCTGTCATCAAACTAATAACATTTTGTCAATAGATCTTACATGTTTAACTGCCTCAATTTCACTAATTGAACAGGAAGGCATGTTCACATTTCATCGAGCTGTGGAAGCAGAAGCATGAAACTGGACAATGGATTGAAGTTGAACCTGAAGCAATGTCTACACGCTCTGAATTTCCTCCATTTAACGCATCTGGCATTGTGTTCATGGGAGACAACATGAAACCAAACCTGGAATCAGGGTCTATTAATGGAGAGGCAAATGGCGAGGATGGAGCTAAAGCTGGTATAAGTTGTTGCGCTTTTCCCAAAAGAAAGCATGGCATTTGAATTTTGAACATTGAATGAAAGTACCCCCTAAGCACACACACACACACACACAAAAGAATATCTTTTCTTTAAAGCTAAGAATGTTACCAATGAAGCGCCACTAACATTACTAGTAAAGAAAAAACAATATTCTTCTATGTTTCTAGTTTCCTTCTATTTGTGGGAAGGGGAAAAATAAATATTTTGAAATATCAACATTTCATTTATAGTTTTATTATTTATATTCCTGTCTTAAGGTGGATGTGCTATCCTACTTTTCTTATTCAAGAATGAACCAGATTGTAGTTTTCTCTTGGTTGGCATTTGGCAATGCTTATCCAGCTTTGTTTTAACCAAGTTATTTCAAACAACAACAACAACAACAAAGCCTTTAAGTCCCAAACAAGTTGGGGTAGGCTAGAGTTAAAACCCAGCAGAAGCAATCAAGATTCAGGCACGTGAATAGCTGTTTTTCAAGCACTCCTATCTAAGGCTAAGTCTTTGGGTATATTCCATCCTTTCAAGTCTCCTTTTATTGCCTCTACCCAAGTCAACTTCGGTCTTCCTCTGCCTCTTCACGTTACTATCCTGGCTTAGGATTCCACTACGCATTGGTGCCTTTGTAGGTCTCCGTTGGACATGTCCAAACCATCTCAACCGGTGTTGGACAAGCTTTTCTTCAATTGGTGCTACCCCTAATCTATCACGTATGTCATCGTTTCGAACTCGATCCCTTCTTGTATGACCGCAAATCCAACGCAACATACGCATTTCCGCGACACTTATCTGTTGAACATGTTGTCTTTTTGTAGGCCAACATTCTGCACCATACAATATAGCAGGTCTAATCGCCATCCTATAAAACTTGCCTTTTAGCTTCTGTGGTACCCTTTTGTCACATAGGACACCAGATGCTTGGCGCCATTTCATCCACCCTGCTTTGATTCTATGGCTAACATTTTCATCAATATCCCCGTCTCTCTGTAGCATTGATCCTAAATATCGAAAAGTATCCTTCCTAGGCACTACTTGACCTTCCAAGCTAATATCTTCCTCCTCCCGAGTAGTAGTGCCGAAGTCACATCTCATATACTCAGTTTTAGTTGTACTGAGTCTAAAATCTTTGAACTTCAAAGTCTCCCGCCATAACTCCAGTTTCTGATTCACTCCTGTCCGACTTTCATCAACTAGCACTATATCGTCCGCGAAAAGCATACACCAAGGGATGTCCCCTTGTGACCTCATCCATCACTAAGGCAAACAGATAAGGGCTCAAAGCCGACCCTTGATGTAGTCCTATCCTAATCGGGAAGTCATCTGTGTCTCCATCACTTGTTCGAACACTAGTCACAACATTGTTGTACATGTCCTTAATGAGCCCGACGTATTTCGTTGGGACTTTATGTTTATCCAAAGCCCACCACATAACATTCCTTGGTATTTTATCATAAGCCTTCTCCAAGTCAATAAAAACCATGTGTAGGTCCTTCTTCTTCTCCCTATACCGCTCCATAACTTGTCTTATTAAGAAAATGGCTTTCATGGTTGACCTTCCGGGCATGAAACCAAATTGGTTCATAGAGACCCGCGTTATTGCTCTCAAGCGATGTTCGATAACTCTCTCCCATAGCTTCATAGTATGGCTTATCAACTTAATTCCCCGGTAATTAGTACAACTTTGAATATCCCCTTTATTCTTGTAGATCGGTACCAATATACTTCTCCACTCGTCAGGCATCTTGTTCGATCGAAAAATATGGTTAAACAGCTTGGTTAGCCATGCTATAGCTATGTCCCCAAGACATCTCCACACCTCGATTGGGATACCATCCGGTCCCATCGCCTTATCTCCTTTCATCCTTTTCAACGCCTCTCTGACCTCAGATTCTTGGATTCTCCGCACAAAGCGCCTATTGGTGTCATCAAAAGAGTCATCCAACTGAAAGGTTGTGTCTGTAAGTTATTTCAAACATTCAGAAAAATCATTTAAATAGTAAGCAGAGTTATACTTAAATGTTGTGCAATCATGGATTTAGTTCATTTCTTGTCACTCTGTTAAGCACTTTAGATTTTCTCTTACTGCCCATTTTTGAGAAAATATTTTCTTTCTGCTTTGCAGATCAGAAGTCAAGCCAGCAGATGGGATCTCATGCTACATATCCTCCATGGGCAATGCATCCATCTGGTGCAGTTGTTTACCCACCTTATCCTATGCAAGGCATGCCTTTCTATCCTGGGGTGAATCCATACTACCCTCCATATCCTCCAGTGGATGATCCCAGGTACCACTACTCAGGAAGGAAATCTTCGAGGAAGCACTCCTCGGATAGTAAGGACTCAGAAACTCTTGATGTTGAAAGTGACCATAGCAGTTCAGATAGAGGAAGTTCTCATGGTCGCAAGTCACATAGAAAGGGGAAGAGGTCTGGAAAGAAGAAGCCTAGTGTAGTTGTTATCAAGAATGTGAATGTAACATCTAAAAAGCATGGCTCATCAGAGAGTGAATCACAATCAAGTTCTGAAGTTGAGTCTGCGGACAGTGACAATTCACACTCCAAATCAAGAGAGAGGAAGCATAAAAGCACAAGTTCAAAGAAAAAGGAGGGTAGGAGAACTACTTTTGACTCGGGAGATGAGTATAGCAAGGATGAAACGTCAAATGGCCACGATGCTGAACAAGGTAACTGGAGTGCATTCCAAAATTTCTTGTTGAGAGCAGAAGAAAAAACAAGATCTAGTGATGCAGACCTGTTTGCTGGTGAGAAAGAACCCCCATCAAGGAGAAAACAGAATGTAAACACAGCAGATCCTATTCTTTTAGCTGACAGAGATGGTGGCAATGTCTATGAGCGGAACAAAGTAGGCTTTGATTCAGCCAATGGGAGGACTAGAGCTATCCGGGTCATGTCCAATGATGAACTTATTATGTCTGGAGAAGGGAGAAGCTATATGGATGGTGAAATAAAGGAGATTGAAGCGGGTGGAGGAAGGTACAGGAGAGGGACAGGTGATGACTTCATGGTTTATGGTCAGGGAAGTCAGATAGACAGACATAGTTTGTTGGATCCTCTTGCAGAGGCCCAGTACAAGAATCCTGTTCAGCAGGACAAGAATAGGAATGGTGTGGCGGATGAGTCCTTTATGATTCCTCTTAGGTCCAGCTCACAGGATAATATCGGGAGCAGAAAGCAGAACTACTATTGACATAGATGTTGAGCTTCCTTCTAGAATTCAGAAAGCATCAGATGAAAAGGCTGGGCATCAGCTTTTTTACGAACCTGATGAATTGGTGCCAGAGCGTGGATTTGAAGATGTTTCATTTGGATATGATCCAGCAATGGATTATGATAGCCACGTGCAGATTGCTGTAAAAGTGGAAGATGCAAAAACAGAGGATGTCGTGCCAGTTACTGAGGGTGATGTACAGAAGGTAGAGAAAGAGAAGCCAAGGAATGCAAAGGATGGTTCAGATAAACGAAGGAAAGATGCCTTATTGAGGAGGCTATCAGCGCCAAGGACCCCACTGAATGATGCACAAAAACGTGCACAGAACCTGCGTGCATATAAAGCAGACCTTCAGAAACTGAAGAAAGAACAGGTATTTCACATTTCATTCCATTTTCCCTTCCGTGGGTTCCATTTATGGCCTACACCAGCTTGCTTGGGATAAAAGGCTTTATTGTTTTGCGATCACCCTTTCAAATGGCCAACTAGCTAAGTTTAAACATAATTCAGTACAGTTTCTTGAAATATTACATGCCTGCTAGCAGTTCTTGTAAGGCCGAATTTCAAGTAGTTAACCTCAGCAATAGTTTCCTATTTCAGAAATCTTATGAGTTTTATGTATAATGTACTCTGCATCCAGAAAAGAGGGATATATATATATCCTACTCCATAACTTTGTATTACATTACTTTTTAATTTTTTAATATGATAATCTGCCTAGTTGATGTTTTATCATTGTTGAAAAAAGCTTAAGAAAACCGAGCACGCGATTACTTTCCCACGCATATATTTGCAGCTGAGTTTGTCAGAGTTTGTTTCATTCTTAGGGCATGTTTCTAAATCTGATTGACAAACTGTACAATGATATCATCTGTGTAGTTGAATTGCTAGTAACTTTTCTTATTTTCAGGAAGAAGAGCAAATAAAGCGATTGGAGAGACTTAAATTGGAGAGGCAAAAGAGGATCGCCGCAAGAGGTAATGGAAAGGGTCCAGGGAATGATGCTCCTAAAGCGAATGGTATGAATGGACTTAGTAAATCAGTTCCAAACTTCACTGGGTTGAAAAAGGAGAAAATGGAACAACTGAATCACTCAGCGATCGACTGAAGAGGCTTTCTGAACCCAAAAGCATTGCTGGGGCAGAGCATTCCTTGAATCCAAAGTCAACTGGCGCAGACCATTCACGAAGAAGAAGTATGGCATGAGTTGACGTGGGATGGAGAACCGATAATCCATCGTGCCACTCTGCTAGCCCAGTAACCTACCTACTAGAACCATGAATGGCATCTCAAAAGGCTTCTTTGTACAGAAAAAGGAAATGGCTGGTCTGTAGCATTGCCTGCTTCCAAGGTTTGTGATGGAAAATCAAGTTATCTTTCAATGGCATGGCGTAATACTTTCAATTTTAGCATAATTATTTCATTCTTTAATTGAGGGTGGCTTGTAATAGCTGTAAACCTGGGTGTATTTATGGAACGGATTTATCGGTGCTTGAGATGTATTGTGGTATTTATTACAGCGTATAAATGTCAATTGACTTTGGATTGGACGAGTTGGGCCCATCCAATTTGTACGGCAGTAGCATAGCATGCTACAGTTGGATGACCGTATTCAGAGCTCTGTATCGAAGGCCCAAGGAGCAGATCAAGTGATTGCTACTTGCCTTCAATAAAGGCGCATGATCTCCTTTTAAAAAAAACACTGCGCTTGTGGACACTTGATGACAGTTCAATGATATGAGGAAGTGAATTAGGCCATTTGAAAACTAAGTTAATAACCCAGTTATAAAACCCTACGTAAATTCTATCTATATGTGCATTAGGTTCTAAGTGCTGCTATCAACGTCTAATAATTTTACTCCCTAGATTCTAATTATACCAACTAAAGTAGTATCAAGTTAGAATTGAAAAGTAAAAGCACACAACCAAAAAATGTAAGAAAATAGTTGTAGAATATAAGGCCCCGTTCGGATGGTATGGTTCTGGAGGAATTTGGATGGGTCGGAGGAATTCTATAGGAATTTATGAGAGAAAAACACTGTTCCGAATGAAAAAAGAAGCGGATCAAGCCGGGTTTAAAGGCATGTGAACGGGGCCAAAGGGTCAGGGAATGTACACTTCCTCACAATGCTATTTTTTATTGAGGTATAGAAAACTTTAAACTTTCAGCTAATCCTCGTTGGAGCTCCTCGCAAAGGCCAAGTGCTCGGTTGAGTAACTTCGTGGATAACCTATGGGTCCTCCTCATTCACAAGTGGTCTTCGTGTGGTCTCTCCGAGATTGCTTCCAGCCATCTTCACAGGTGAGCTTAGGCCAAAACGTCAAGGCCTCACACCCCTCGTAATGGCAGCCACACCACGAGCATAAATTGATATGATCTCGTAAGATTACATGCCCGTGTATATATCTCTTTATATGCGCAAGCATCGATAGCTTGAAAGTATACAAACCTCACAAAACATTAGGCCTAAACATAGAGCAAGCACAAAACACGACCTTTAACTAGCATAAGCACTAATCCTAGCATTTTTGCTAGCCACCTAATCTTCTTTTAAGCATATATGGTCCCATTCGCTTGTTTTAAATTTGGCTTGTTCGGTTTGTTTTTTTAGCCGGAACAGTGTTTTTCAGCCAAAGTTCAGACCAGCGAACGGGGCCTATATTGGCAGGAGCACAAATGGATGAGTTTTTGACTCAACTACGTTGTTGCACGAAGGATGCCTCGATAGTGAGCATCCGATAGCTCCGGACACTGGTGACAGACATTAATGAAATCTAGTGCCTTGCCGTGGACTTTTTTTTATTTGTCATATTAGCTCGATCCTAAATCAAATATTTGTATTTTTGCCCGTTAATTTGAAAAGATTCATATAGAGTTAAGACATAAGATTTATGTTTTTAGATTTACTATAAAAATACTTTTATAATATATAATTCATATATTGTTAATTTGTAAATAAGGATTTCTAAATAAATAGTTATTAAAGATAATCGCCTTGTTCGCTTGGTTTATAAGTCGTACTTTTTCAGCCAACAAACAATATTTTTCTTTCACAATAAATCAGTCAACAGTACTTTCAGCCATGGCTTATCAGCTAAACGAACAAGACAAATAATGTTTAACATGGAACCAAGCTAATATGACACGTAAGGCAGGTACACTCGTTTCTTATGATACAGAAGCAACTTCCTCCCCTCGGCATACTGCAGGAACATATGTCTTCCTTGCTCGCCGTGCAACAACATTTGCCGTCCGCCGACAGCGTATCCCAACGACGAACACAACTACACAAGGCACATTTGCCATCCGAAGACAGCCGTTTCAATTGGCCACGTCGTCGCCGCCGGCCGGCGAGGAGATGTCTGCTTTGCTCTTCCTTTCATCGAACCAAACCACCCGGCGGAAAGGGTCAAAGGGGAAACAAAGATTTCGCTTTGCAAAGAACAAGGAGAGGACACCTGCGCTGCTGATCTGGCGCCGCCGTCCACTCGCTACGTCGATGGATAATAGACTAGCCGTCCCGTCCCGGCCCGGCGACTCAGCAAGGAGAACTGCAGCGGCAGGGACCGCCGGATTGTTAATCAGCCTATACGGTCTTCTTCTGGATAGAAAAGAAATAAAGATAAAGGTTAAAGCTTGCTCGTAGCCTCCCCTGGACAAACCGGCGATTCTCCTGTCGCCGGTGAGCCATTAATTCCGTCGAGCTGTAGGCACATCTGTTAGTATCGTTGTGTATCTTTCTGTGTAATCGTAGATCTGGATAAGCCTCCTCGCCCTTTCTCTCTGTTGCGGCGTAGCAGCAGAGTAGACGCCGGTGCCGCAGTGTAGTAGGCGTCCAGTGCTCTAGAGATGAAGTCCAGTGGTGCTGCGGTGACCCTACAGAGACGGCGGCGGTGTGGTGGAGCTTTCCGTCGCTGGCAGTACTGCTTTAGATCGGTTTAGGTTTTCTCTGTAGGTGGGTACGGCGGCTCCGTTGAACCTCGTAGCGCGAGCCATGATCCTCACCTCTCTTTTATACGTGCTGTGCGACAAGGGCCTACTAACCATATTAGGGTTAGGCTCCCCCGATCAGGGAGCAGAGACAAGAGCCCAATAGGCCGTTGGGTCTATTGGTGGAGATCAACTAACATTCTCTCCATTAATCTCACTACCATCTTTGAATTTCATTTACTTTTGTTCATTCCATTACAGATTAACGCATAGAGCATGTCTCATCGTCACGGTCCATTGCCGATAGATTTAACAGCTACAACATACTACTCTGTTCTGAAATAGATACTTATCTTTGGGCCTTCTTTTGTCCGGGAATTTTTTAGGCTTTCCTTTAAATCCATGCTAGCTACATGTTCTCTGAACACGTTGGGTGGTAAGCCTTTTGTAAGCGGATCCGCGAACATCTTTTCTGTACTTATATGCTCAAGGCTTATGGCTTGATTACAGACTTTATCTATCACAACATAATACTCTATGTCAATGTGTTTGGCAGCACCACTTGACTTATGTTGTGAGCATACTGTACTGCCAGATTATAATCGCAGTATAACTTAAGTGGTCTATAGATGTCGTCAACCACCTTCAAACCGGATATGAACTTCTTTAGTCAGTTCATCTGCCGGTTGTCTCATAACACGCTACAAACTATCATACATTGTGTACGATATAGTGACGGTTTGCTTTGAGCTTTTCCATGAAATAGCTCCGCTTTTGCGAGAGTGAATTCATATCCTTTCTTAATTTTCTATCATCTCTCGCATAATCAGAATCTGAATATCCCACTATGTGGAGTGAATCATATCTTCTATATGTCATCATGAGGCATTTCGTTCCTTGCAAATAACGCAAGATTTTCTTTATCAATTTCAGTGTTCTATTCCAGAATTGCTCTGGAATCTGCCAAGTAAAATCCGGTAACAAATGCCAAGTCAGGGCGCGTACATACTTGAGCATGTTGCAAGCTTCCGACAGCTGAAGTATATGGAACCACTTTCATTTAATTGAGCTCATATTGGTTCCTGAGCATTGAAAATCCCCATATCTGTCGCCCTTGACTATAGGAGCAGGTGAGAGACTACATTTGTGCATACTAAATTTCTTTAAAATTCTTTCTATGTATGCCTTTTGTGACAGTCCTAATACCCCTTTTCTTCTATCTTGGTGAATCTCGATCCCTAAAACGAACGAGACTTCACCAAGATCTTTCATATCAAGTTTTGAGGATAAAACTTCTTTGTCTCCTGTAGTAGACTAACATCATTACTAGCAAATAAGATATCATCCACATACAGGACAAGGAAGATAAACTTCACATTCTTAAACTTTGTATAGACATAATTGTCCTCTACGTTCTCTTTAAACCCAAATTCTTTATTTGCTGATCAAACTTCAAGTATCACTGTCTCAAAACTTGTTTTAATCAATAAATGGATTTCTTTAGACGGCATCCCATTCGTTCTTTTCCTTCCATGACAAAACCTTTCAGTTGTGCCATGTAAATATTTTTCTCCAAGTTTTCGTTGAGAAATGCCGTCTTTACATCCATCTGATGTAATTCTAAATCGTAATGTGCCACTAATGCCATTATGATTCTGAAGAAATCCTTACATGAGACTGGAGAAAAGGTCTCATTGTAATCAATCTTTTCTCTTTGCGTAAAACCTTTTACCATAAGTCTCGCTTTATATCTCTCTATATTCCCTTGAGAGTCAAGTTTTGTTCTGTAGACCCATTTACAGCCTACTGTTTTGGCTCCTTTAGGAATTACTTCTAAGTCCCAAACTTTATTGGCATTCATTGATTTCATTTCATTTTCTATGGCCTCAAGCCACTTTGATGAATGATCACTTCTCATGGCTTCTTCAAATGAGGTGGGATCATCCTCTATTTAAAATTCCTCAGTATTGTACACTTCATAATCAGCAAAAATAGCTGATTTTCTAACTCTTTGAGTCCTTCTAGGGGCCTTCATATTTGGCACATCTTCTGTTTGAGGCTGTTGTTGCTCCCCCTCATGTGTGGAAATATGTTCTATAGGATCCTGACGAACAGGTTCCTCATCGTCATTCATTATTGCCACAGGTGGGATAACAATAGGTGCCGCACCACAAGAT